GATTGTTCTCAGCTCTCAGGCAGTATTTTACTAAAAGAAAAGACCCATTTGGCAAGGGAAAAACAGTCCTGTCCTCTGATATTATCTACTAAAGAAAAAAACCTCACCGCAGAAAAGAAAAACAATCCTCCATAGAAAAACAATCCTAAGTACGAAGGAACCTCCTTGTATTGAAGAATTTTTCAAATTCACAGATTTAAAGCAGTAGAGTCATTGGAATTTTGAGCAAATTATTTAGGATTATTTAAATAAGTTGTCGTAGGATGAAAATAAGTTTCTACCTATCGATGAGGTTTTTTACGTGGCGTTTCTAAATACCAAAAATTTACCTTGGGTGAGCTAGTAATACTTCTAAAGAGTTAGTGAACCTTTGGTGAGCTAGTGAACTTATGGTGAGCTAGTGAAATATTCTGGTGAGTTTGTATACCTCTAGTGGGCTTGTGAACCCCTGGTGAGCTCGTCAACCATTGGTGAGCTAGTGAACCATTGGTGAGCTAGTGAACCTCTGGTGAGCTTGTGAACCTCTGGTGAGCTTGTGAACCTCTGGTGAGCTACTGATCCTGTGGTGAACCGCTATTGAGCTTGTGAAGCGCTGGTGAGCTAGTGAACCTCTGGTAAGCTAGTGAACCTCTGGTAAGCTAGTGAACCTCTGGTGAGCTGGTGAACCTCTGGTGAGCTAGTGAACCTCTGGTGAGCTGGTGAACCTCTGGTGAGCTAGTGAACCTCTGGTGAGCTGGTGAACCTCTGGTGAGCTAGTGAACCTCTGGTGAGCTGGTGAACCTCTGGTGAGCTAGTGAACCTCTGGTGAGCTGGTGAACCTCTGGTGAGCTAGTGAACCTCTGGTGTGCTGGTGAACCTCTGGTGAGCTGGTGAACCTCTGGTGAGCTAGTGAACCTCTGGTGAGCTGGTGAACCTCTGGTGAGCTAGTGAACCTCTGGTAAGCTAGTGAACCTCTGGTGAGCTAGTGAACCTCTAGTAAGCTAGTGAACCTCTGGTGAGCTAGTGAACCTCTGGTGAGCTGGTGAACCTCTGGTGAGCTAGTGAACCTCTGGTGAGCTGGTGAACCTCTGGTGAGCTAGTGAACCTCTGGTAAGCTAGTGAACCTCTGGTGAGCTAGTGAACCTCTGGTAAGCTAGTGAACCTCTGGTGAGCTGGTGAACCTGGCTGGTGAGCTAGTGAACCACTGGTGAGCTAGTGAATCTCTGGTGAGCTAGTGAACGTCTGGTGAGCTAGTGAACCTCTGGTGAGCTGGTGAACCTCTGGTGAGCTAGTGAACCTCTGGTGAGCTGGTGAACCTCTGGTGAGCTAGTGAACCTCTGGTGTGCTGGTGAACCTCTGGTGAGCTGGTGAACCTCTGGTGAGCTAGTGAACCTCTGGTGAGCTGGTGAACCTCTGGTGAGCTAGTGAACCTCTGGTAAGCTAGTGAACCTCTGGTGAGCTAGTGAACCTCTGGTAAGCTAGTGAACCTCTGGTGAGCTAGTGAACCTCTGGTGAGCTAGTAAACCTCTGGTGAGCTGGTGAACCTCTGGTGAGCTGGTGAACCTCTGGTGAGCTAGTGAACCTCTGGTAAGCTAGTGAACCTCTGGTGAGCTAGTGAACCTCTGGTAAGCTAGTGAACCTCTGGTGAGCTAATGAACATCTGGTGAGCTAGTGAACCTCTGGTAAGCTAGTGAACCTCTGGTAAGCTAGTGAACCTCTGGTGAGCTGGTGAACCTCTGGTGAGCTAGTGAACCTCTGGTGAGCTGGTGAACCTCTGGTGAGCTAGTGAACCTCTGGTGAGCTGGTGAACCTCTGGTGAGCTGGTGAACCTCTGGTGAGCTAGTGAACCTCTGGTGAGCTGGTGAACCTCTGGTGAGCTAGTGAACCTCTGGTGAGCTGGTGAACCTCTGGTGAGCTAGTGAACCTCTGGTAAGCTAGTGAATCTCTGGTGAGCTGGAGAACCTCTGGAGAGCTGGTGAACTACTGGTGAGCTGGTGAATCACTAGTGAACCTCTGGTGAGCTAGTGAACTTCTGGTGAGTTTGTGAAGCGCTGGAGAGCTAGTGAACCTCTGGGAGCTAGTCAAGCTCTGCTGAGCTAGTGAAAGATTCTGGTAAGTTTGTGTACAACTGCTATAAACTAACTTTACTGCTGTATGTAAACTTATGGTGAGCTATTCAACCTCTGATGAGCTAGTGAACCGCTGGTGATCCTCTGTGGAGCTTGTGAAGCGCTGGTGAACCTCTGGTGAGCTAGTAAACCTCTTGTGAGCTAGTGAATTTTTCGAGATCTAGTAAATCTATGGTGAGAAAGTAAACCTCTGATGATCTGGTGATCCTCTGATGATCTAGTGATGTTTGGTGAGCTAGAGAACCTGTGATTAGTCAGTAAACTTCTGGTGAGCCAGAGAATGCCACTTGAGCTAGAGAATCTATATTGAACTAGTGAACCTCTGGCATGCTGATAAATGTCTTGTGAGATAGTAAACTTGTGACGAGCCAGAGATAGTCATGGGGATTTTTTTCAAGTATCGAGCAAATAGTTTTGGAAAATTTAGAGAGGATATCTCGAGAAATTGATAACTTTCTAGATAAATTATGTGATTCCGGGAAACAATTCACTGATAGGGAATCCGCAAAAATACTGGAGAATTTGCCGTAAAATCCAAAAATATTTGTCAGCTTGGCTGAATATTATCTACCAGGGTGGAATATTATCGGGCCAAAACTATAGCTGGGTCAGAAAGAGGTTTCAGTACAGAAGACTGTCTGTAGATGCTAATATTGCCTTTACAAAGAGGTTGCAGATATTGAACGCCAAGGTTCAACGAGAATTACAATTGAAGGGTGATGTGAATGAATATAAATGCAATGGCATACTCAAGTTCGCATTGGTGGCTCTTGAGGAGAGAGAGAGAGACTCTCACTGCATGAGTTCATGCAAATCTCAATGTACATTTTTTGGATGATGAAGTAAAACTGCTTTCGTAAAAGATGGCTTTTTCGGAGAATGCTCTTCGAGTAGCTGAGAGCAAACGATATAAGTTGTCTGCGGAAATAATAAAAAATTCAAAAATTAGTAGTAGTAGACCCCATTACTAAAGTCAAAATTCTTGGTCGATGAACAAGAATCAAATCCTAGAGACTAACAAGGACTGGTGTCAACCACTGCAGATTCCAAGTGGGAAAACACAGAAGTCGAAAATAAACTGTTCGCCTACAAGATGAAGACGAAAAAGGATGACCATCTGCTTTCCTGGAATAATAAGATGCTGAATGAAGCTCAAGTTGTTAGGAAGATGAAGATGTCTAGTGGAAGTGGTGTAGCGAGAAAAAGACTGGACGGAGGGACAGGAAATTGTGAACGCTTGTAACGCTAATACGATAAACTTTTCAAGGTCAGATGCTACTGCCAGAGAAGCATGATATCTCTGGCCACAAAAAGGAATTCAGCCTGAAAATTGAAGCCAAGGCAGACAAAGGAGGTGGGACCGACTGGAAAGATGGAGGAACTTTTTGGACGCTATAAATAAACTTCCTGACGGATATTTGAAAATGTTTTTAGAACAATAGAGAGAAAGAGAGAGATTAGCGAGGCTACTTAGTATAGAAGAGGGATATATCTCGTTAAACAGGGATCTCTTTAAAATATTCCACATTAAGTAGGATAAGAAAATGTGGTGAGCAGAACTTCAAGTCTTTTATAGATCCCGGTTTTCAGCCTCCGTTCCAGTCACATTTTTGTTTGACTTTTATTTCTCGTTAAATTTTATTATTTTTTTTCTTTTAAAGCAGTAGATTCATTCGAATTTTTATAAATTGTAGCAAAACTTCTGAGTATCTCCAAAGAGATCTGAGGATATTGAAGTCAGTAATGTCCTTGAATCTAGGAATATGGATGATGGCCTCCGTTTAAAATCCATTTTCTCTTGGTTTCTCTTAAAAATTACCCTTAAAAAATTGACTAGATCTTTCGGTAGGAGAAATCTTTCAGATTTTAAAGCAGTAGATTCATTCGAATTTTTATAAATTGCAGCAAAATTTCTGAGTGTATCCAAAGTGATCTATATATAATGAAGTCAGTAGTATCGTTGAATCTAGGTATCTGGATTATAGCCTCCGTTTAACATCCATTTTTAATGGTTTCTCTTAAATTTTCCTTCAACATTTTTTAGGTTTTTGGGCAGCGAAAACTTTTTAGTTTTTAAAGCAGTAGATTCATTCGAATTTTTATAAACTATCCGAAACTTACCGAATACCTCCAAGTGATTTATAAATTGATATAAAACTTCTATAGCAAGTTTTTTGTTGAGGACTTTCGGAGAAGAACTTATGTTTATGGCAAACGTTTTCCTTGAATTCTGAACGCTGGAACGATAAACTACCCAAGGTCTGTAAGATGGCACTGCCAGAAAAAATGACATCATTGGCCACTGAAAAGAATTCAGCCTGAAAATTGAAGCCAAATTAACTAGGTTTCCGAGCAGCGGATTTTTTTTAGTTTTTAAAGCAGTAGATTCATTCGAATTTTTATAAACTATCCGAAACTTACCGAATATCTCCAAGTGATTTAAGAATTGATATAAAACTTCTATGGCAAATTTTTTGTTGAGAACTTTCGGAGAAGGACTTCTCTTTATGGAAAACTTTCATTGAGATTTGTTTTCTAGGCATAATCGGATTTTTTACCCCAAGTATTGAATTTATCCCATTAATTTCCATAATATGACAAAATCTCCTTAATTTCTTTCTAAAAAAAATAATAAATTATTTTAAGGCTAGAAATGTTGAAAAGAACACGTCATCCTTGGGCTATTGATGGCTGGAATGGGTGTCCATTATTTTCCCATAGACATTGTAGTTTAATTGCCGGTCAGCTAAGATTTAGTAGGCCCAATGAGAGTCATAAAAAACCATGGCCATGAAATCATTCGAACGATGATGGCACAAACATTTTTGGCTTATTTTAAAAAAGGCAACGTGAAAGCTAAGTCGACGGAGAAAAACAAATTTTTCCATTCAAATGGCTTGTCCTGCCAGTAATCTCGAGGATATCTCCTCAATGGATTTGGAGGAAATTCCGGCGGCCAAAGACAAGACATCTGAGACGCTCGATAAGAAATCACTTAGCCTAAGTCTCAAAGAAATCTATGAAGAATTTTGTTCGAATACTTCCATACATGGCTTCCAGTATTTTGGTCAAAGACGTCAGAGAAAAGAGGTTGGATTCTGGATTATTGTCTTCATTATAACCATCTACTTGTGCACTTCGATTATTGTGAAAATCTATATGAAATGGTGTGAAACGCCGGTAATTGTGAGCTTTTCGGAAAAATCAACACCCATTTGGAGTATTCCATTTCCGGCCATAACCATTTGTCCGGAGACGAAGAGGGCACTGAAGGAGAAGGGTGAGTAGAAGATAATTTTAATTATTCTTATTTTTATTATTGAAAATAATTCGATTTCCCTTGCAGACAAGGATTATGGCCATTTGCTGGCTAGTCTCCAAAGCTATGCAGCCGCAGGACAAACCTTAAGCTCCAACTTCTCCCTGAAAGAGCTACATGAAACCTTGACCCTAATGCATATATGTCGCTCCGAAATTGATCAATTTTATGAAATACCCAAACTCAATCTCGAACCCTTTGATTATTTCGAAACCATGGATGGGATGTTACCTCCCATGGCAAGCTATTTGGTTTTGTGCAAATGGTTTGGCAAATTCGAAAATTGCCAAAATTTGTTTAGCAAAGTTTATACAGATGGCGGTATTTGCTATACATTTAATAGCTTGAAGGCTCAGGACTTATTTCGATCCGAGGTGGTGCAACATCAAATTTCCGAAAAAGAACGGAATGATTCCAGAATATTAAATTGGTCCCTGGAGGAGGGCTATGCCTCAGATGTGGATTTGTTGACCTATCCAGCGCGAGTTTTAAGTTCCGGCTCCGATGCTGGATTTCAAATATATCTACAAAGTTTTCCCCAGGAGTTGGATTACACCTGCAACGGAGCGGTCCAGGGCTTTAAAATTTTGCTACACTCCCCTGATGCCACACCCTCGGTGGCCAAGCATTTTGTGCGCATCTCCGGGGATAAAGAAATCCTTATTGCCGTGAAACCCAAAATGATAATAACTTCCAAGGATATCTCCGCCTATGACCCGGATAGAAGGAGGTGCTTTTTGAACAAGGAAAGACAATTGCGATTCTATAAAGTCTATAGCCAGGATAACTGTGAAAGGGAGTGCCTAAGTAATTTCACTTACTCCCAATGTGGTTGTGTGCGTTTCTCTATGCCACGTTTCCCGGAAATGGAGATATGCGGAGAGGATAAAATCAAGTGTTATCGCAAGGCCAAGGAACAATTGAGGCTGCAACAATTTTCCGAGGGCCTTAAGAAAGCCAATGGTCCTTCTATGGCTGATTGTAATTGTATGCCGGCTTGTACCTCTCTGGACTATGATACGGAAATATCGGAGGGAATTTTTGATGTTGAAAGTACCCAAAGGGCGTTCAATGTCACCAATTTGTTTACGGGCAAGGTATCGCTGGTGGAAATCTATTTTAAAGAAAATCAATTTATTACTTCGAGACGCTCGGAGCTGTATGGGGTCTCTGATTTATTGGCAAATTTTGGTGGTGTATTTGGTCTATTTATGGGTATATCTATACTAAGTGTTGTGGAGTTGTTTTATCATTGCACCTTGCGTTTGTGGTCCAACATGACCCTGTCGAGTAGGGTGAATTAGATTTTTAAGGATAGGTTTTTTTGGATTGAAAAATTAATAAAAAATTGGGAAAGTAATGAATTAATGTTTTCTCTTGGAAGGAATTCTTCAGGTTCAGATATCTATTTTTATCCACAGAAAAGGAAATGAGGATTAATTGTTTCCACAGTTCTATAGAAAAAAATTCAGTTCTCAGGTCTGGGGAATTTTATTATTTTTTCTGTGGATAACAATTTTCTTTCTAAGGAAACAAAATTGGTTTCCAAGAACTGAAGATATTTTTCCAGAATCAGCTATATTGAAAAAATTACATTACATATTTCTGGAGCATTATAAAAGCAGTAGAGTCATTCGAATAATATAATAAATATACATACCAATGCTTGGGCGCCACATTATAAAATTGTTTTTTTTTTTTACTTTTTCAGCACCCTATTGGTTCTACAACGCATTCAATGAATATGGTTTCCCAAAACTCCTTAGTCTTATTTCCTTTAAAGATATTGCGAGCAATTTTGCCAGCAAAATTTCAGTCTCTTTAATGCCTACATATTCCGGTGCATCCAAACTTTGAGGCAAATAGCAAATGGTTGTTTTTCGGTACAAAAATGTGCAATTTTTTTGCCTAACTGCATCAAGAAAAATGTCATTTGACATCCTTGGTGGTAGACATTCTAATTAACACGTGGATGACTCAGGGCAACCATTAGGCATGAAATAATATCATTAAGTACACTTATACCCTATATAGCTTCGTTAGCTATCAACACTTGAGGATGCATGTGGATAAAGCTGGTAAATCGAGGCATTGGTGTATTTCAAAACTATAAAATAGCCAAGAATATTTAATAGCACTTTTAGTTTGAGACGACAGCAACATGAAAGCAAGTTCACAACGGCGAAAGGAGACCACGGATGCAACAGGTTCCCATGACGCGGTCATAGCTCCAGAACCATCGCCAGGGATTAAGGAGAGAAAATCTCTAAAGAAAAACCTGAAAGAAATCTATGAAGAATTCTGTTCCAACACCTCGATACATGGCTTCCAGTATTTTGGCCAGCAACGTCCTCGCAGTGAAATCATATTTTGGATTATCGTCATTATTGTTACTCTCTTCTGTTGCATTTCCATTATTGTGAAGGTCTACGTGAAATGGCATGAAACTCCAGAGATTGTAACATTTTCAGAGCAGTCCACCCCGGTTTGGAATATACCCTTTCCTAGGTTGACTATATGTCCGGAGACCAAGAGGGCATTGAAAAAGAATGGTAAGTATTTTAGAGAAAATTATTTCTCTGAAAAAATTACGCTTCAAAAACTGAAAAAATTTTTCTATTGAAAAATTAAATTTTCGGAACTTAGAACCTTTCACTGTTATCTGGAGTAGATTTAAAGCAGTAGAGTCATTCGAGTGTTTTTCAAATTTTATTAGAACATTTTTTGAAGCAAAAAATTAAAGCTCAGTAACGAAGATTAAATCCAAGAACTGGGGTGTATTTTTTCCTTAGGAAAAATTTAGGCCTCTGGCCTAGAAAAATCTCTTTCTTTTACATGAAAGCCTCCAACCGAGGGTTTCTCTATAGGACCAAATAATAACTCAGGAATAAGATAGGAATTATATTTTCTATTAAAAAATATAGAGAAGCCTTAGCGACTGAAGATTATTTTTGTTGGTTTGTTTTCTTCTAAAGCAGTAGAATCATTCGAATCTTATTCAAACTTTAATAAGTATTTCTAGTAAAAAATTAAATTTCAGGGCACGGGATTAAAATGGTGAACTAAGAAGTTTTTTGGATAGGAAAAAATCAAGCTTCTAGGTTAGGAATTATTTCCTAATTAAATGCTATTGAGAAATCAAACGTCTGAGGAGATATAAATTACCCTGAGTATTTTTAAAGCAGTGGAGTCATTCGAATCTTATTCAAAATTTATTAGGTATTTCTAGTAAAAAATCAATATTTATCTCTTATAATATTTCTCTTCTTTAAATATTTCTTCGGAAACTAGGAAGTTTTCCTCATAGACAACTATAATTACTCAGGACTCGAAGAACTTTATTTCAATTGAATAATCAAACGTCTGAGCGGATTTAAATTACCCTGAGCACTTTTAAAGCAGTAGAGTCATTCGAATTTTTTAAGCAGTGGAGTCATTCGAATCCTATTCAAAATTAAATACATAGGTATTCTAGTAAAAAAATAAACTTAAGGACCCGGGATTAAAATCATGAACTAAGGATTTTTTTTGGGTTAGGAAAAAAATTAAACATCTGGATGAGAAATTATTTTCTCTTTAAATATTTCTTGGGAAACTGGGAAGTTTTCCCATAGACAACACTCAGGACCCGCAGAACTTTATTTCTATTGAGAGATCAAACGTCTGAGGAGATATAATTTACCCTGAGCACTTTTAAAGCAGTAGAGTCATTCGAATCTTATTCAAAATTTAATAGGTATTTCTAGTAAAAAATTAAACTTCGGGGCACGGTAAAAAAATCTTAAACTGAGGATTTTTTTGGATTAGGAAAAAATCAAACTTCTGGACGGGAAATTATTTTCTCTTTAAATATTTCTTCGGAAACTGGGAAGTTTTCCTCATAGATAACTATAATTACTCAGGACCCGAAGAACTTTATTTCTATTGAATAATCAAACATCTGAGGGGATTTGAATTACCCTGAGCACTTTTAAAGCAGTAGAGACATTCGAATCTAATTCAAAATTTAAAAGGTATTTCTAGTAAAAATTCAAACTTTAGGGTTCGGCATTAAAATCATGAATTAAGGATTTTTTGGGTTAGGAAAAAAATCAAACTTCTGGATAAGAAATTATTTTCTCTTTAAATATTTCTTCGGAAACTGGGAATTTTCCCCCCATAGACATGTATATTTACTCAGGACCCCAAGAACTTTATTTCTATTGAAAAATCAAACGTCTGAGCGGATTTAAATTATCCTGAGCACTTTTAAAGCAGTAGAGTCATTCGAATCTTTTTTAAAATTTGAAAGGTTTTTCTAGTATAAATTTAAACTTCGGGGCACGGGATTAAAATCGTAAATTGAGTATTTTTTTGGGTTAGAAAAAAAATCAAACTTCTGGATAAGAAATAATTTTCTCTTTAAATATTTCTTCAGAGACTGGGAAGTTTTTGCTAAAGCCAAGTATAATTACACAGGAGCCGAAGAATTTTATTTATATTGAATATTCAAACGTCTGAGGGGATTTAAATTACCCTGAGCACTTTTAAAGCAGTAGAGTCATTCGAATCTTTTTTAAAATTTGATAGTTTTTTCTAGTAAAAATTTAAACTTCGGGGCACGGTATTAAAATCGTAAACTGAGGATTTTTTTTGGGTTAGGAAGAAAATCAAACTTCTGGATAAGAAATTATTTTCTTTTTTAATATCTCTTCGGGAACTGAAAAGTTTTTCCCATAGACAACTATAAGTACTCAGGTACCGAAGAACTTTACTTCTATTGAAAAATCAAACGTCTGAGGAGATATAATTTACGCTGAGATTTTTAAAGCAGTAGCATCATTCGAATCTTATTCAAAATTTAATAGGTATTTCTAGTAAAAAATTAAACTTTTGAGCCCGGGATTAAAATCATGAACTAAGGATTTTTGGTTTAGAAAAAAAAAAATCGAACTTCTGAATAAGAAATTATTTTCTCTTTAAATATCTCTCCGGGAACTGAAAAGTATTTCCCATAGACAACTATGATTACTCAGGAGCCGAAGAACTTTATTTCTATTTAATAATCAAATGTCTCAGGGGATTTAATTTACCCATAGCATTTTTAAAGCAGTAGAATCATTTGAATTTTATTCAAAATTTAATAGGTATTTCTAGTAAAAAATTAAACTTTGTTCGGTTTCGGGATTAAAATCATGAACTAAGGAATTTTTGGATTAGGAAAAAAACAAACATCTGTATAAGAAATTATTTTCTCTTTAAATATCTCTTCGGGAACTGAAAATTTTTTCCATAGACCACTATAAGTACTTAGGTACCGAAGAACTTTACTTCTATTGAAAAATTAAACGTCTGAGGGGATTTAAATTACCCAGAGCACTTTTAAAGCAGTAGAGACATTCGAATCTTTTTTAAAATTTGATAGGTTTTTCTAGTAAAAAATCAAATTTCGGGGCACGGGATTAAAATCGTAAACCGAGGATTTTTTTTGGGTTGGGGAAAAAATCAAACTTCGGGATAAGAAATTATTTTCTCTTTAAATATCTCTTCGGGAACTGAAAAGTTTTTTCCCATAGACAACTATAAGTACTCAGGGCCCGAAGAACTTTATTTCTATTGAGAAATCAAACGTCTGATGGGATTTAAATTACCCTGAGCACTTTTAAAGCAGAAGAATCATTCGAATTTTATTCAAAATTTAATAGGTATTTCTAGTAAAAAAATCAAATTTCGGGGCACGGGATTAAAATCGTAAACCGAGGATTTTTTTTGGGTTAGGAAAAAAATAGAACTTATGGATAAGAAATTATTTTTTCTTTAAATGTCTCTTCGGGAACTGGGAAGTGTTTCCCATATACAACTATAATTACTCCGGACCCGAATAACTTTATTTCTATTGAATAATAAATGACTGAGGGGATTTAAATTACCCTGAGTACTTTTAAAGCAGTAGAGTCACCCGAATTTTATTCCAAATTTGATAGGTTTTTTTTTTAATAAAAATTTAAACTTCAAGGCCCGGGATTAAAATCGTGATATTTTTTTTGGGTTAGGAAGAAAGTAAAACTTCTGGATAAGAAATTATTTTCTCTTTAAATATTTCTTCGGAAAGCTGGGAAGTATTCCCATAGGCAATTATAATTACTCAGGAGCCGAAGAATTTTATTTATATTGAATATTCAAAGGTCTGAGGGGATTTACATTACCCTGAGCACTTTTAAAGCAGTAGAGTCATTCGAATCTTATTCAAAATATACTAAGTATTTTTATAGTAAAGTATTAAACCACAAAGGCCAAGATTGGAATCGTGGACTAAGAAATGTTATAGGAAACAATAAAGCTTCCGGATTAGGAATTATTTTCTATTTAAATATTTTTTTGGGAACTGAGAAGCTTTTCCCCTACACAAAAATAATAACTCAGGAGCCGAAGGACCTTATTTCTGTTGAATTATCAAACGTCTGAGGGTTTTTAATCTGCCTTGTGTATTTTTAAAGCAGTAGAGCCATTCGAATATTAATCAAAAATTCTCTTTACTTCTCTTTCAGATTCAAGCTATGTTGAGTTGGTGCAATCCTTGTATTCCTACATAGACGATGATAGCTTTCAATTTTTCCCAAACTTTACTCGTTCGGAACATGAGAATACCTTGACTTTGATGCATGTTTGTCAGACGGAGGAATTCGGTACTTTCTTCTCCAAACCAGCAGATCGGAATCCCATTGATTACTTGAAAAATCTCAACGATTTGTTACCGGGCTTTGAGAGATATTTTCTCACATGTCAATGGTTTGGCCGGAGCATGTCCTGTGAGAAATTGCTGACCAAAGTCTATACAGATGAGGGTATCTGCTATGCTTTTAATAGTCTGAAAGCCAATGATTTGTATCGTGATCAAGTTATGCGTTCTCAGATGAGAGAAGAAAGTCCGAATAAAAGTGAGGATGCGTTGGCATGGTCACTGGAAAAGGGTTATGCAGTGGACAGTGATTTTCAAACCTACCCCATGAGGGCTTTGAGTTCAGGTTCCAAAGCTGGATTTCAAATATTTCTACAAAGCTTTCCCAATGAGACGGATTTTACGTGTACCGGTCCAACACAGGGTTTCAAGATCATGCTTAACTCACCCGATGATGTACCCTCGGTGGAGAAGCATTTTGTCTGGGTGCCTATGGATAGGGACATTATGGTGGCCGTAAAACCCACAATGATTACCACCTCAGCGGATGTGAAAGCCTATCGGCCAGAGAAAAGACGTTGCTATTTCCAGCAGGATCGCCAGCTGAGATTCTATAAAATCTACACCCAGAGGAATTGTGAAAGGGAGTGTGTAACAAATTTCACCTATCACAAATGTGGCTGTGTAAAGTTTTCCATGCCACGCACTGCCGATATGCCCATATGTGGCGAGCATAAAATCCTATGTTATCAAAATGCCCGCAATACATTACTGTGGCAGCAGTTTAAAGAGGGACTCTCACATTCGAAACGGGTCAGAGGTTGCAATTGCATGCCCGGATGTACGTCGTTGGAATATGAGACGGAAATCTCCGAAGGCAGTTTTGATTTGGAAAATACTCTACGAGCTTACGATGACTATGATAGGTATTTTGAATTGTATCCTGGTGGCAGGATGTCCTTGGTGACCATTTATTTTAAGGATAATCAATTTATTACTTCACGACGTTCGGAGTTGTATGGCGTTACGGAGTTGATGGCAAATTTTGGTGGCGTTTTGGGTCTATTTATGGGTGTCTCTCTGCTGAGTGTGGTTGAGATAATGTATCATTGTTCGCTGCGTTTGTGGTCCAATGTGAGACGTGGTGAGGAGAAGGGAAATTAGAAGGGGATTGCTTTGGAAATATAAAAATAAACTATTGAAAATTGTTTTAATTTGGGAGGGTAGTCTGTCAGAATTATGGCAATGGGTCACTTTCCGAAACTGAATAGAGGATCGCAAAGTTTCTGACTCAAGAGTAAAATCTTAAAGCGGCGGTACTTCCATGCAAAATGGTTAAATTAATTCTATTTTAACATTAGTGCTAAGAACCCACTCAAATATTCCGCAAGGCATTGCTGAGAGAAACACAAATATTCTCTGACTCAGAGATTTGCAAAACTGTCGAAGAACGTACTTTGGCGTCATGGGATATACGCATATTCTCTTTTCTCTCCTCTCGGAGAATTCACCATCAAAAATCTTCGTCAACGAATTGTCAGTTGCGCTCAAACACTCTCCCTCTCAATTTAGCCATGCACATCATTGTCTGTGCCATAAATGGTGGGAGAGAAGAAAACCGAAAAACTTCTCTGAGAAGCCAGAGAAAAAAAATCACCCAGCCGAGTAAGTTTGAGTATAGAACTATAAAGAAGAATATCCGTAGAAGTAGTTTTAAAGCAGTAGAGTCATTCGAATTTTAAATTTAATTTGGCTTTTCTTCAGTGGTAAAGAAACATCGGACCTCCTTGACATATTTGTTTAACTGGAATAGGGAGAATACAACTACTTGAAAAAAAATATATAACTATTTGAAAAATATTATATTATGGATTAAAAAAAAAAAACATTTTTTCTTCAATCTGGAATATGTTGCCTACATACCGACTGGATCCTGCAAGTTAAAAAATAAAATATGGCGGAGGACAAAATTGATTTTAAATACATAACTTGCGTGAATCAATCGAAGAGACTTTGGTCAGGATCAAAAATCATTCCTCAGAAACTGTGGGTTTCTTTTTAGCGTGTCGAGTTTTAAAGCAGTAGAGTCATTTGAATGTTATCCAATTTAATTTCACTTCTCTTCGATGATACCGGAAATGAGCCCTGTGGAAATGAGCCCTACCTGCATGGTGTATAAATCAATCGACTTCAGCCGTATAGAAAATCTGCTAGAGATCTTGGTTTCCTAGAATTAAAGAAAAAATTAGTAAATTATGCTTCGTACTCCAAACTTATTCCTCGACAAAAGAAGAGGATCCTCTCCACATAGATTAGCAACTTCTCTTCTATCATCGAACTTTTGGAATACCCACCTAATGTTAGAATCCCCCTTGGATCCACAAGGTAGGAGCAGATGAGCTAAAATTGGAGGAGTAAGACTTTTTGAAATGAGAATTTAAGAAAAGTGTTTCAAAAGGTAGAACCCTCTTCATTTACCTACCAACTGGATTGCGTATGAATCAATCGAATTTAGCCGCATAGATAATTGGTTTCCTAGACATAATTGAATCCTAAGAGAAAAAAAAAATGGTTAAACAAAGTACTCGTACTCGAAACTTCCTTACGAGGATCTTCTCTACAGAGATTACCAACTTCTCTTCTATCATCGAAGGTTTGGAATACCCATTTTATATAATCCCATTCATTAGGTATCGCAATATTAAGTATAAAATCGAAGTTTTTAATAGTGGGTAAAGGTGCAATAGAGGACGTAATATTAGAATCCCTTTTTGATACACAAGGTAGGAGCAGCTGAGCCAAAATTGGAGGAGTAAAACTTTTTAACATGAGAATTTATGAAAAGTATTCCAAAAGGCAAAACCCTGCTCATTTATCTACCAACCGGATAGCATATGAATCTATCGACTTCAGCCGTATAGATAATTTGTTAGTGCTCTTGGTTTCCTAGACATAATTGAATCCTAAGAGATAAAAATTATTTAATCAAAACGTCGTACACGAAACTTAGTGGGTGACAATAGAAGTGGATCTCCTCTACATAGATTACCAACTTTTCTTCTATCCTCGAAGGTTTAGAATACCCATGTTATATAATCCCATCCATTAGGTATCGCAATATTATGTAAAAAAATCTAAGTTTTCAATTGTAGGTGAAGGTACAATAAAGGACCCCAAGGTATGTACAGCTGAGCCCAAAATTGGAGGAGAAAAACTTTTTAACATGGGAATTTAAGAAAAGTATTCCAAAAGGCAGAACCCAGCTCATTTAACGACCAACTGGATGGTGTACGAATCAATCGAATTCAACCGTATAGATAATCTTGGTTTCCTAGACATAATTGAATTCTAAGAGGAAAAATATAGTCAAATAATGATTCGTACTCCAAACTTATTCCTCCACAAAAGAAGAGGATCTTCTCTACATAGATTACCAACCTCTCTTCTATCATCGAAGGTTTGGAATACCCATGTTATATAATCCCATCCATTAGGTATCGCAATATTATGTATAAAATCTAAGTTTTCAATAGTTGGTAAAGGTGCAATAAAGGACCTTATATTAGAATCCCCTTGGATTCACTAGGTAAGTGCAGCTGGGCCAAAGTTAGAGGAGTAAAACTTTCTAACATGAGAAGAAATTTTCTATAGACACTTTTTTACATAAAACAAAAGTTTATACGGCAGATTTTATAATGTCGAACCTCGAAATTTGAGAGCTATGATATTTTCAGAGAATCAAATGTAGGAACCTAAGACAAAAACCTCATGAACTATGGATGCTTGTTTCAATTCAAAGTAGTTCGGATGTCGGGGAGAAGTAATGAACAATTCAATTGACATTCGAATAACTCTACTGCTTTAAAACTGCCCGAGGTTAAGTTTTTCCAATTCCTAAAGCATGGCTTCCTACAAAAAATCTGTAAGTTAGTTATTTCCATATTTCAGATAATAAAATTTAAGGATCTGACAAAGAAAATTTCATGATTAAGATTGCTTGTTTTAATTCAAATTAGTTCGAATCTGGATTAATATTCGAATGACTCTACTGCTTTAAAAATGCCGGAGGTTAATTTTTTACCAATTTCTGAAGCATGGTTTCCTATTGAAAATTCAAAGAAGTGAGAATCTGAAGGAGAAGTGGAAAAAACCCGTGATTAACATTCGAATGACTCTACTGCTTTAAAAATGTCCGTAATTACATTTCTCTAATACCTGGAGAAGGGTTTCCCATACTTACTGCGCTCACATTGCCTATTTCAATATTCATGGAGAACTCTCTCTCTCTCTCTTGATTGTTCGTTTTTTTCTTTGCCTCTCAGTTGCAGTTCAGAGAATCGATTGAAAATAGCTACCATTTTTTTCAGGTTAAGAACCCATACCCCGCTCCCACCAAAACACTTATTAATAATTTATTTATTTTTATTTTCAAACCCATACCCTTTCCCCCTTACTAATTTTCCTTCCCTTCCCCCCGCCTCATATTCGACCACAAACGCAGCGAACAATGATAGATTATCTCCACCACACTCAGCAGAGAGACACCCATAAATAGACCCAAAACACCACCAAAATTTGCCATCAACTCCGTAACGCCATACAACTCCGAACGTCTCGACGTAATAAATTGATTATCTTTAAAATAGATGGTCACCAAGGACATCCTACCACCAGGATACAAGGCAAAATAATCATCATAGTTATCGAAAGCTCTTAGAGTATTTTCCAAATCAAAACTGCCTTCGGAAATTTCCGTCTCATATTCCAACGACGTACATCCGGGCATGCAATTGCAACCACTGGCACTCTGCGAATGTGAGAGACCCTCTTTAAATTGTTGTAGCAATAAACGATCTCGGGCACCCTTATAACACATAAGTTTATCCTCACCACATATGGGCATATCGGCCGTGCGGGGCATGGAAAACTTAACACAACCACATTCGTGATAGGTGAAATTCGTGACACACTCGCGTTCACAGTTCCTTTGGGTGTAGATTTTATAGAACCTCAGCTGGCGATCCTGTTTGAGATAGCAACGCCTTTTCTCCGGCCGATAGGCTTCAATGTTCGATGAGGTGGTAATCATTGTCGGCTTAACGGCCACCATAATTTCCTTGTCCATTGAGACCCGGACAAAATGCTTCTCCACCGAGGGTACATCATCGGGTGAATTAAGCATAATCTTGAAACCCTGTGTCGGACCGGTACATGTAAAATCCGTCTCATTGGCAAAGCTTTGTAGAAATATTTGAAATCCAGCTGTGGACCCTGAACTCAACACCCTCATGGGGTAGGTATGGATATCACTGCCTGGGGCATAACCTTTTTCCAAGGACCATGCCAGCGCATCCTCACTCTTGTTGGCCCTTTCTTCTCTCATCTGAGAACGCATAACTTCATCACGATACAAATCATGAGCTTTCAGGCTATTAAAAGCATAACAAATACCCTCATCAGTATAGACTTTGCGCAGCAGTTCCTTACATGGCATCTTCTGGCCAAACCATTGACATGTAAAGAAATATTTCTCAAAACCCGGTAACATATTATTCAGATTCTGCACATAGTCAATTGTAGTCGTATCATTTGACTTGGGTATACTCAGTATACCCTCTATTCCCGTCTGACAAACATGCATTAATGTTAGGGTGTCTTCATGTTCCGAACGGGTAAAATTTGTTGAAAACTCTTTGGTTTCTTGATCTATATATGAGCCCAAAGTTTGTATCAGCTCAAAGTAGTTTGAATCTGGAAGAAGAAGTAAAGAAAATGTTGATTAATATTCGAATGACTCCACTGCTTTAAAAATGCTCAAGGTGAATTAAAAGGCTTCAGAGGTTTGATTTTTTAATTGAAAAAAAGGCTTCCGATCCTAAGTTATTCTTGTCTAAAGGAAAAACTTTTCCGTTCCCAATGAAATATTTAAATGGAAAATAATTCCTAATCCAGAAGCCTGATTTTTTTCCTAGACCAAAAAACTCCTTAGTTCCCGATTTTAGTCTCGGCCTTTGAGGTTTAATTTTTTACTATAAAATGCTTAGTAAAATTTGAATAAGATTCGAATGACTCTACTGCTTTAAAAGATAACAAGGCCACATAGAAAACTCTCAGTCCCTAAGGATTGTTTATTTTTTTATTACAGGAGACAAGTCCGATCCTCTTCCTAAAAAAAATTCCTTAGCACCAATTTGAAGCCTTTGTCCTTGGAGTTTGAATTTTGTGCTGTAAATAATTTTCATTAAAATTTGGATACACTGCTTTAAAACTATTAAAGCTACCAGAAGAAAATTTTGTTTAGGGAATTGACCAAGATCTGTAGGACCATGAGAGGGAGTTTTTCACATAGAAAAAATCTTCCGTTTCTGGATTATAATTTTTTTCTTTAGAAAAAAAGCATCGGTTGGGATTGTTTCATATAAATAAAGGAGCAAGTCTCCATATCCAATGACTTAAATTTTTCCTTAGAAAAAATAAATACACCCTAGTTCTGGTATTTAAAATTCGGCTTTGAGGTTTGATTTTTTGCTGCAAAAAATGGAAATAAATTTGATTAGGATTCGAATGACTCTACTGCTTTAAAAGAAAACAAACCAAACCTAAACCCAAGATAATATTTTCTAATCCAGACTCAGACTTTGAAGGTTTGTAGGTCTTCTTTTAGAAGTCCTTTAGGTCATCTAATTGAAGAAGTCTAGATCTCCTCATAGAATACCTGGAAGAACTTTAGGTCTTCTAAAATAATATCTATTGGTCTTCTCAAAGAATACCTGTTGGTTCTTCTAGAATATCTGTAAGTCTTCTCATAGAAGACCTCTGGGTCTTCTCACGCCTGCAGGTCTTCTCATAGAAGACCAAGAGGATGGCAGACCGGTAGGTCTCCTCATTGAAGACCTGTGTCTTCTCACAGAAAATTTCATCTTCCCCATTGAGGTTTAATATTTTGCTGCAAAAAAAAAATCCGATAAAATGTAAATAAAAATTCCAATGACTCTACTGCTTTAAAACTACTCCAGGTAAAAGTGAAAGGCTCTCAGTACCCTACCTCAACACCTCAGTACCAGTAGGTCTCCCACAGAGAATTTCATCTTTCCCATTGAGGTTTAATTTTTGGCTGCAAAAAATTCCAATAAATTTTAAATAAAATTCCAATGACTCTACTGCTTTAAAACTACTCCAGGTAACAGTAAAAGGCTCTCAGTACCCTACCTCAGGACCTCAGTGCCAGTAGGTCTTCTCACAGAAGACCTGTAGGTCTTCTCACAGAAGACCTGTAGGTCTTCTCACAGAAGACCTGTAGGTCTTCTCACAGAAGACCTGTAGGTCTTCTCACAGAAGACCTGTAGGTCTTCTCACAGAAGACCTGTAGGTAGGTCTTCTCATAGAAGGGCTGTAGGTAGGTCTTCTCATAGAAGGGCTGTAGGTAGGTCTTCTCATAGAAGAGCTGTAGGTCTTCTTATAGAAGACCTCTCTGGGTCTTCTCAGAGAAGACCTGTAGGTCTTCTCATAGAAGACCTGTAGGTCTACTCATAGAAGACCTGTAGGTCTACCCACAGAAATTTTCATCTTTCCCATTGAGGTTTTATATTTGGCTGCAAAAAATTCCAATAAAATTCCAATGACTCTACTGCTTTAAAACTACTCCAGCTAACAGTGAAAAGGCCCTCAGTACCCTAGAATTTAAGATTTCAATATAAAAAACCTCTTCCATTGCTGAAGCTTAAAATTTCCTTAACCAAAAAGTTATACCTAAAATACTCACCATTCACCTTCAATTCCCTCTTGGTCTCCGGACATATAGTCAGTCTGGGAAAGGGTATATTCCACACCGGCGTGGATTCCTCCGAAAACGTTACAATCACTGGCGTCTCATGCCATTTCACATAGATTTTCACAATTATGGAAATGCAAAAGTATAGGGTAATAATGAAAATGATAATCCAAAATATAATCTCTTTACGTGGCCTTTGCTGGCCAAAATACTGGAAGCCATGAATCGAAGTGTTGGAACAAAATTCATGATAGATTTCTTTTAAATTCTTCTTCAGAGATTTGCTCTTATTCCTTGGTGATTGTTCTGAACCTATGGCCGAATCATGGGAACCGGTTTCGTCAATGTTCTCCTTTTGCCGTTGTAAACTTATTGTCATGCTGCTGGTCGGGTGGCTCAAACTAAAAGTGACATCAACAAATTGTGGTCATTTTATAGTTTTTTAAAAACACTTAAGCCTCGTTTTACAAGGTTTCCAAAGGTAAACTTAAATGTTTGGGATTTTTAGGACACCATATGAGGCCTGAGTGTATTTGATGATATCATGCGATGTCTAATGGCTGTACTGAGCCACACAAGTGCTAATTTAAATATCTACCATCAAGAATGTCCAACGACATTTTTCTTGATGTAATCAAATAGAAAAAAATTGCATACTTTTCCTAACGAGACAATGAAAACAGCCATACCCGCAATATGACGCGGAGTGCATTGTATGGGTGCCAGGACATGCAGGTGCTAGGGGTAAAGATATACGTTTGAAGAACGCAAACTTGAGCGAAAATGTCCACTCGACTCATTGGAATAGTAAGGAGATTGGGGAAACCACAAATCTTCCATAGGTAGAATAAAACAAAAAATATGCTATTAAAAACAAACCTATTATCAGCTACTGGTCGCGATACGAAGCCCGTGAGAGAATATTAACATATCTTACAGTTAGTAACTAATTTAATTTGTAAAAGTTATTTTATTATTTGCCATTGAAAATTTGGCTTCCATTTATTTTTCATCCTTTTTTTGAATCCTTTGCTAAAAATGGTAAACAGTCATATATCCTAATTTTCCTATTTTGTAACTTTGGTTTAAACCCCCCCCCCCCCATACTGGAGGAACTCGTCGTATTCCAAGAGTTCATACAGAAATCGTTTTAGTTGAGACAGAAAGATAAAGTCTGCTGATTCTGTTTGATGCCCGATTAACTATTCTTGTATAACGAGAATTATATCTCAAAAACTATCAATTCTTGGTCTGTTCATAACTTTTAAAATTCGAAAAAAATCCAAAAATAGGAGATTTTTGCAGGTACTGGAACAGAGAGTTTACTTTAACCAAATGTATTTACTTAAAAAGTCTTCGGTCGGCACTGGGATGAGCTCATCTGGGATTACCAAAAAAGTGCTTTGAGAGAGGCTCTTGGTAGACCAGAGAAGAACTCTAGTCCTCAAATGCCAGCCTATAACTGCAGGAGACTGATTTAGCCCTTTTTTTTAAATGATTTAGCACTTTTTTAAACTTTTAAGGCATATTTATATCAACGAATGTTATTAAAACACTAAAATAATTTAATGATTGCTTATCATAAAAATGCGGCACTAATATAATCTTAACATCGTAGTCTCTCCTACATTGTAAGCCCTATGGTAAAGGAGAATGTTTATTTACTAATCTATTTTATACTGTAGCCATTAAGAATATAACGTATAATCTGACAATTAACAAGTAAAAAAACATTAAGTTCGGCCGGGCCAAACTTTTAATACCCTCCACCCTAGGGTAAAAGAACATTAGAAGAAATGTGGCAAAAAACATTAAAATGCCGAATATCGGGAGGTACCGTTATATAGGGGCTACACCAACACGTGCACCTATAATTACAATGTTTCGCCACACGAGCTAGGACCCATTATGACCCACAAATACCAACTTTTACACAAATCAGTGAAAAAATGTGGCATAAATCATCAAAATACCGAATATCGGGAGGTACCGTTATATGGGGACTATACCAGAACGTGGACCTATACATGCAATGTTTTGCCACACGCTCAGGGACCCGTTGTGACCTACAAATACCAATTTTTAGACAAATCCGTGAAAAAATGTGGCATAAATCATCAAAATACCGAATATCGGTAGGTACCGTTATATGGGGGCTATACCAAAACGTGAACCTATACATGCAATGTTTTGCCACACGCTCAGGGACCCGTCATGACCTACAAATACCAATTTTCAGATAAATCCGTGAAAAAATGTGGCATAAATCATCAAAATACCGAATATCGGGAGGTACCGTTATATGGGGACTATACCAGAACGTGGACCGATATATCTCATTTTCAATACCAACCATCCTAGGGACAATACACACACTAGTGCCAAATTTCAAAGGTCTACGTCAAATAATGTGGGCTCTATCGTGATTTCAACAGACAGACAGACAGACGGACATCGCTAAATCGTCTTAGAATTTTATGCTGATTATGAATATATATACTTTATGGGGTACGACGAATATTTAGAGGTGTTACAAACGGAATGACAAAGTTAATATACCCTCCTACCCATGGTGGAGGGTATAAAAATAAATAAATGGCAAATTCAAAATCAAATATCTGCAGGAGACCTTAATCAATGTTCCTACAGATTCCAACATACCGAACGGAATCGAGAATAATTTAAGTGAATAAAAACCTAATTATTAAAAACATTATAACCGATATATTTTACAAAAAAAATCTCATTAAAATTTGAAAAAGATTCGAATGAATCTACTGCTTTAAAACTGCTGAAACTAATAGAAAACAAGTTAAAAGGTATCAGCTGATTTTGCCGACAGCTATGATTATCTTCTGCTATGATTATTCAAATTATTGGCCCTCTATGGAGTAAGTTCCGCAGGAATGGACCAATATTGTCCATTTCGTATCGGACCTAAATAAATATAATAAAAATATTGCGACATGCTAGGTTTAGACTATAAAGACTACTTCCTTCATTTAATTTGAGATATGTGATAATTTTTAGAAAATGTTAAAATGTACGTGAGGTTCCAGAAATAGTCGATCGAGGTATTCCATTTTCATACTTCATGTAATACAGATAAAAAAATATTGGTTTGGGCAAAATTACAAGAAAATCGAACATTTCTTTCCATTCCTCTCATAAAATAAATTCCATATTCCTCTCAGGTTTCTGGTTGAGAGAAATTTGTAGATAAAGCAAGTCGCAAGTTATGACAGATAAAATTATTGAAAATTGTGACCCTTTGTGGCTGAGGTACCAGAACGAGTTCACAGTTACATACCATCTTCACAACAGATCTTGTGATAGCAATAATGTTTGTATGTGTGAAAATTAAAGAGAGAGTTCGATGCTTATTTCGCTTTCTTTGATCGTTTTGTTTTTCAAAATCTTGAACCCTGTGTGTGGGGGAGATACCAGAAGAAATGGTTCGATCTCTACCATCTTTATATTAGATCTTGTGTTGATGATGGAAATATTGAGATATGCCAAGTCAGGAATAATATCGGATGTTAATTTCGTGTTTTATGAGTTTCATTGATATTCAAAATGTTGACCCTTTGTGGTGGAGGTACCAGATAGAGTGGACCGTTATATTTCATCTTCACTGCAGATCTTGTCTTAGGAAAAATATTTGTAAGTGTGATATATAAAGAGAACCTAATACATATTTCGGTTTTTATTTACGTTTTGGTTATTCAAAACTTTGACCCTTTGTGGGGGAGGTACCAGAAGGAGTACACCAATATATCCCATCTTTACACCAGACCTTGGGTTAATACAAATATTGTGATGCGTGTAATTTGAAGGCAATCGGAGGCTTACATCATATTTTATATGAGTTATAACTTTTCAAAATGTTAACCCTATGTGGGCGAGGTACTTGATGGAGTTGAGCGATATTGTCCATTTTCGCACCAGACCTAGTACTGATGGAAATATCAGGATTTTCAAAGTTGGAGCAAAATCGGATTATCCATTCTCATTGTGTGCAGTAAAATATTTTTTTTTCTAAGTTTCGACGTTTTGTGGGGGAGGTACCAGAAGGAGTTGACCGATCTATGTTTGATTATAATTTTAGGATGTACCAAGTTTGGACTGAATCGCATACTCCCTTTGAGAGTTATCGTGCGCATCAGCCAAACAGATAGACAGACGGACGGACATCGCTAGATTGACTCCAAATGTCTTGAAACGAATTTCGTCCAAGGAGACCTAAGGTCTAAAACCATTATTTCGATGAGGCGCGTTTCTCTAGCCAAATGGCTGAGGGTATAACAAATGTTCGAATGACTCTACTGCTTTAAAACTGCTTTACTGGTTTTCCTAAGGAAAAACTCTCTGGCTCACGAATTTGACCTAAGTCCTTGCAGGTTCATTCTTTGCCAAACAAATATTTGCTGAATTTAAAAAAAAAAACTTTGAATGACCTGAGAGTAGCAGAAAAACAAATTTACAGGATTGATTTTCAGAAATATAATCTTCAGTTTCCAAGTTCTTATCTTTTTTAATGGGAGATTTCCCGAAGTGTTCCCACTTAAAAGTGAGATTTTTTCCTATAAAAATAATTCCCTAGTTCTCAAATCTAACCACATTTCCTGAGGCTTCATTTTCTATTCTAAAAAATTCTCAGCAAGGTTTTTTTTTCAGGTTCCATAGAAAATCTATGTCTTCGTATGCAATGTCCTTCGTCCTTCAGGACTTCATGATAAACTTCTGTGCAATTGGCATTCCCTAACAGACAATTAAACCCACTTTAATAAACACCATAAAACCTCAAGACCATAATTATCTTTATTTCATTGTTGACCAAACAGAGTTTGTGTGTCTGTCGATATGGTTAGCCGAAATTGAGGTGGTCAGTCGTAGGCAAGGTCTTAAATGATGGATGTGAGCAACTGGTTGTTAGTTTTCAAACATAGTTCGGCCAGCAAAGGACTTGTCGCCTCAAAAGGGAAAAAAGTCGTAAAAATTATTTCAATATTTTTTTTTCTCGGTACTGCCATGGAGGTGATAGCCATTGACATGCCAACATCGCCACCTAAGGTGGACATGACCAAAAAACCCAAACGAATGTCCTGTTGCCAGGCCTTGAAAAAAAGTTATGTGGAATTTTGTGCCACCTCTTCCATTCACGGCTTCCAATATTTCGGCCACAGTCGCAATTGGAAGGAGAAATGCTTTTGGATGTTGGTGTTTGTGGTGTCGTTGTATTTTTGTGGTTCCATGATCTACAAGGCCTATGTGAAGTGGCATGAGACACCGGTTATTGTGACGATTTCCGAGAAATCCACACCCATATGGAGTATACCATTTCCGGCGGTGACCATATGTCCGGAGACCAAGAGAGCCATCAATGAGACGGGTAAGTTAGAGGAGAGGAAGAAGTAGAACAAAATCTTATCCAATTTTTTCCCTTTCAGTCCTTTCCTATTCCGAACTTTTGCTGGGCCTTCAAACCTACATTGAAAGGGGTGAACAGTTTTCGGAGAATTTCACCTCTTCCGATTTGGAGGACATACTCACCTTGCTACAGCTATGTGATGTCCAGACCAATGCCAGCATCTCCAGTGACTTCAATGCTCCCGAAATTAATTTCATTGGCCAGCTAAACAAATTGTTGCCAGATTTTCGAAAATACTGTTTCAGCTGTGGCTGGTTCGGGGTGGAGACCACGTGCGATCGATTCTTTATGAAGGTCTACACCGATGAGGGTATTTGCTTTACCTTCAACAGTTTGAAGGCCACTGATCTCTATCGTGAAGATACCTATCAGCATCAAGAGAGTCTCTCGAACTCCGAGCTCAACATTTCCATGTTCAATCAATCTTTAACTTGGTCCCTGGAACAGGGTTTCACTACCGATGGCGTGCTAAACACCTATCCGGCCCGGGTATTGGGTTCGGGTACCATGGCCGGATTTTTAACAGTCCTGCAAAATTTTGCCCGCGAAGTGGACTACAGTTGCCGCTATGTGGCCGATGGTTTCAAGGTACTGCTACACTCGCCCGATGATGTACCCTCGTTGGCCAAACATTTTGTCCACATCTCGATGGACAAGGATGTCATGATTGCGGTGAAACCGAAAATGATAACCACCTCATCGGGCATTGCGGAATATCCACCGCACAAGCGCCAGTGTTATCTGAACAAGGATCGGCCGCTGCGCTACTTCAAGGCCTATAGCCAAAACAACTGTGAGCTAGAATGCCTGACAAATTTCACCCTGCAACTTTGTGGCTGTGTGACCTTTTATATGCCCCGCAGTCTCAAGACCCCGGTGTGTGATTCCCAGAAACTCAACTGCTATCGCCAGGCCAAAGATCAACTACTCTTCCAGCAATTCATGGAGGGCTTAAAGCACCCGCAAACTACCCTCAATAACTGTGATTGCCTGCCCGCCTGCACAGCCTTGGACTATGAAACGGAAATATCAGAGGGTAGCTTCAATGTAGCCAATACTATTAATGCCGTGGCCAGTTTTCGGGAAATGCATGACCTCCGTCCTGACCTAACCATGTCCATGGTTTGGATTTATTTCAAGGATAATGAATTTATTACCTCACGACGTTCGGAGCTGTACGGTTTGACAGATCTGATGGCGAATTTTGGTGGCGTATGTGGCCTATTTATGGGTGTGTCTCTGCTAAGTATCATTGAGATGTTGTATCATTTTACCTTGCGTTTCTGGTGGAATCTCGGCCATCCCAAGGATAAGAAATAAAGAGGAGAATGAGAAAATGAGATCGGTGTGTTTTGAAGGGGAGGAAGTGTTGGGTTTTTCATGGAAAATTAATTGGCATTGTCCTTCAAAAAATATTTGTAGAAAATCCAAGTTTAGTCCTTGGAAAAAAATATTTTGATCCGAAAATTTACAAACGTGTGCAGACGCCTACACCACAAGATGGTCAGGGTATTATGTCTTTGTGCATTTGTTTGTAACAGGCAAAAGGAAACGAGATAGACCCATAGTTCCTTTTGATGATCTGCATAGAATCACATTCTGAGTCGATTTATGCATGTCAGTCCGTCTGTCCGTCCGTCCGTCTGTCCATGTATTCTTGTGAACAAAATGCAGGTCGCATTTATTATCCGATTGAGATGAAATTTTGCAAACAACATTTGTTTGGCCCAAAGACGAGATAATCGGCAAAAATTTAGATATAGCTCCCATACATATCTTCGTCCGATTTGCCTTTTATTGTGCACCAAACGTGTAATATCAGTCCGAATAGTATGAAATTTTGCACATACAACCAAATTAGACCTGAAAATAAGTATGCCAAATTTGATCGAAATCGGTTCAGATATAGCTATAGCTCCCACATATATTGTTCATCCGATTTGTTATTTTTGTCCTCCGCAGCCGTAATATGCACTCTGTAACAACAATATTTGGGGAAATATATCAAATACAGATCAGAAATACACTTGATAAATTTTATCGAAATCGGTTCAGATTTCGATATAGCTCCCATATATAACTTCGTCCGATTTACATTTTATTGTGCACCAAAAGTCTTATATTTGTCCAAATGGGATGAAATTTGCCACTTACGACCGAATTGAGTCTAGAAGCTAGTATGTCAAATTTGGTGAAGATCGGTTCAGATATAGCTATAGCTCCCATATATATTGTTCATCCGATTTGTTATATTTGTTACCCACAGCCGTAATATGCAATCCGTAACAACGATATTCAGGGAAATATATCAAATACAGCTCAGAAATATCTTTGCCAAATTTTATCGAGATCGGTTCAGATTTGGATATAACTCCCATATATAACTTCGTCCGATTTACCTTTTATTGGGCATCAATCGTCTAATATTTGTCCAAATGGGATGAAATTTGGCACCTACGACCGATTTGATTCTAGAAGCTAGTACATCAAATTTGGTGAAGATCGGTTCAGATATAGCTATAGCTCCCATATATTCCGATTTGTTATATTTGTTACCCACAACCGCAATATGCACTCCGTAACAAAGATATTGATTGAAATATATCAAATACAGCTCAGAAATATCTTTGCCAAATTTTATCGAGATCGGTTCCGATTTGGATATAGCTCCCATATATATTTTTATCCGATTTCAAATTAATTGTCGGCCGCGCCCGACTTTAAAATTTTTTTTGCTGGTTTTCTTAAAATTTTTCAAAAATCCACAAAATCCACTCAAAAAAATATTTTAAATATTCATGTTTCCTGTAATCATTGAATTTTTCTGGTACCATTTAGGGACCTCTTGGGTGGATTTTTAAAAAAAATTCTTTTCACCCTTTATTGCCCTCTAGAGTGTTTTTTTTTAATATTTTTTCTGGAACCTTTTAAGATCTTCTAAAGTTTTTTTTACGAATTCTTCTAAAGAGGATTTTTGAAAAATTTCATGGGAAAATAAAATAGAAGACATGTGTATCGCCATTCGGAAAGTTGCATTGCAAAGTAACCAAAAACAAGGAGGCCAGTCACCCCCACCCCTCCACACTTTTAAGGATTTTCGTATTAGGATTACTCAGAATCCATGCATTTTAGGTATATAGTGTCTTTGGCAATATTGCAGATAATAATACGGCGACTATTTTTTTATTTTAACCCTCAAGCGAGTCAAGAAAGGTGTCTTTTCGGGCCTTTTTTGGAAATAAGGTTAAAACTCCCTTTAAAAGGGGTCTTACTAAGTTCAAATATATTTCTTCGATGGGTCCTAGAAGACGTCAAGAGTCCAAATTTTAACTAAACGCCAGTAATTCATATATATGAAAGAGACATTTTAGGGTTAAAGCCATACTTTATGTGAGTTTATGCCAATATCTCTTACAAAGCTTTACTTTAGAAGGAATACTTCAAAGACAAAAATTTTCCTCATCAAATTTTACCATAAGTCATCAAAGAAGAAATCTCTATTTCCAATGTATATTAAAAAAAAAAACTATGTCCAAAAAAATCCCAAAAATATTTCTTATTTTTTATACCCTTCATAATCAGCATAAAATTCTAAGCCGATTTAACGATGTCCGTCTGCCTGTCTGTTTAAATCACGATACAGCCCCCATTATTTGACGTAGAACGTCAAAATTTAGCAAAATAATTTGTATTGTGTCTAGGATGGTTGGTATTGAAAATAATGTATATCGGTCCACGTTTTGGTATAATCTCCATACAACGGTACCTCCCGATATTCGGTATTTTGATGATTTTTGCCACATTTTTTCACGAATTTGTCTGAAAATTGGTATTTGTAGGTCATAGTGGGTCCTAGTTCGTGTGGCGAAATATTGTATGTATGGGTCCACGCTTTGGTATAGCCCCCATATAACGGTACCTCCCGATATTTGGTATTTGGATGATTTTTGCCACATTTTTTCACGGATTTGTCTGAAAATTGGTATTTGTAGGTCATAATGGGTCCTAGTTCGTGTGGCGAATTATTGTATGTATGGGTCCTCGTTTTAGTGTAGCCCCCATATAACGGTACCTCCCGATATTCGGTATTTTGATGATTTATGCCACATTTTTTCACGGATTTGTCTGAAAATTAGTATTTGTAGGTCATAATGGGTCCTAGTTCGTGTGGCGAATTATTGTATGTATGGGTCCACGCTTTGGTATAGCCCCCATTTAACGATACCTCCCGATATTTGGTATTTGGATGATTTTTGCCACATTTTTTTCACGGATTTGTCTGAAAATTGGTATTTGTAGGTCGCAATGGGTCCTAGCTCGTGTGACGAAACATTGCGCGTATAGGTCCATGCTTTGGTATTTCCCCCATATAACGGTTGAATTCCTAAAACCTATTACATTTTTAAAGAAAAAAATATTTCCGAAGGTCTTTAAACTCCAAATCGAGCTTTTTTGTGTCTGCTCTAAAATTCGATGGTAAATTAAATTTCCTTCCCCACAAAACCCCCGCTCGCAGCTTCCAAGTGCCATAAAATTAATTATAAACAGGTTCATGTGGTTAATAAAACCCAAAAAGTACCCCGAAAAATGGTCACATTTTTCTAATGAAAAATTAACATTAATGCAGCTAAAAATATATACTCATACCAGGTTCTGCACACACACACACAATCTCACTCATTCACACATATGTGTGGATGGATGGACATGGTATGGTCTCCCATAAACATCTGTTTGGCAAACAAATGTCACGTATCTTTTGAAAACATGCACACATATCCTCCGCTGCGTGTGTGTGTGTGACTAAGGATATATGCTGGATAAGTGTGTCTGTGTGTTCGTGGAGGTGGTGGGGGTTATGCGGGTAATGTGACAAAAGAAAAGGATGTTTTAATGGAAACGTTAATCATCTTTAACAGCTAACTTCAAGAGGCAGCATACGTGTAGTTGTAGGAATATGCTGTGTACATGTGGGTGTGTGTGTAAAAATAAAAAGGGTTCTATTTGAAAAATCATTTATTTGCCAAAAGGGTGGGTCATTTAGTAACTATAATTCAAAATTAATAAATGTAGCCAAGATGAGCAAATAAACCAGTATTTCAAGCAAATCAAATGATTATTTCTTCTTTTCAATATTTTGCCTAAAAGTATGCACCACACATTCGCTGTATGGTTGAAACCTCCACATAATACAAAAGTTTTTGGGAATTAAGTTTGAGTATTTTTAAATGAAGAAATATCTATTTTAAATTTTGTTGTTGCAAAATGGTCAGGCTTAATCCCATTATTGATGTTTTTATAAAAACAATGTTTGTTTATTAGTGGAGAACGATGGTAATGTTTACCAGGGGGTAAGGCAGGGAATACCTGGGTTTCGGAAAGAACCACCAATCCTAATCAGTTTCCCTGTTTTTTTTTTTTATTTCTCTATCGAGATGAGCTGAAATTGGCAGTGAAAAGGAAAGCCAGAGGGAAAGTGTGAAGAGAGAGACTATCACACTCTCACCACTATGCGACGCATTTCGCCCTTGATTAAGCAGCTCATCTGGCATATTTGGTGTGGATGATGGCTTTTTAAATTTGTGCATTTGCTTTTGCTCCACCCTGTAGCTTAGGAATTTTGTAGATTATAACGCCTCCCTCATTAGTTATTAATATTTTTTTAACCTTTATAAGCCATAACCATGCATATAAATACACATTTAATTGGATAAGGACATTAATGGGGTATCACTTCCGCCACATCTTCCATCAAATCATCTAACAAAAAATTATAATTTTAAAATATTTTTGTCATAGAAAATGAAGTGGGTTTCTAAATGAGGGCAAAAGGACTTCTCTCACATTTTGGGGACAATCCGAACCATAAAAGGGTGTATCTACTTTTATCCAGGACTAACAGAGCTTTAATCGTTAATTTTTTGTAAATATTCCTTCAAGGATTTACATAGATTATGCCAGATATTTTTTTAAAATTTTTATAAAGACTAGCAGGTCCGTCAGAGTAGGTTTTTTTTTGAAGAACTTAAATTAGTAAGGACCTTCCGAGTCCTAATTTTGAATTTTTCATGAATTTTTTTTTCAAGAAATCCTGGAGTTAGAATTTGGGTTATATGAGAATGCGAATTTCGAGGATATTTAGGGTAATAAAAGAGGATTTTTGGTATAACTATTTAAGGTCTCAAGAGTCATAATTTTTGATTTATATTTTTATACCCTACAACACTATGTGTTGGGGGATTATAAGTTTGATTGGGCCAGAATTTATGTAACACCTCGAAATATTGGTTTCCCATATAGGAAAGTATATATGGATCTTCC